CACTTATTATTTTTGAGAGAAAAAGAGAGAGAGAGAGACAGAATGAGTGAGCACAAGCAGGGGAGGGGCAGAGAGAAAGGGAGACACAGAATCCGAAGCAGGCTCCAGGCCCCAAGCTGTCAGCACAGAGCCTGATGCGGGCCTCAGACTCAATGACCCAGACTGGACTGTGAGATTGTGACCAAAGCTGAAGTCAGATGCTTAACCTTAACCAACTGAGCCACCCAGATGCCTCTACTTCTATTTTAAATAAACAGTCTCAGATGTTTAAATGACTTGTTTCTCCCTCCCCTCCTATGCCCTAAATAAACAATTTGTAGTGGGTAGACCAGACTGAAACGGTTTTGGGGGCACGGATTGTCAGAAATTGAGAAGCAAATGTTTATATGGCATAAACTGTTTTTAACACAAAGTTACTCATAGGATACTTTAAATTTTATGTAAATTTTAACATATAGCACACTAATGCAATGAAAATAGGTAGTGTGACAAAAGTTTTTTTTTTTTTAATGTTTTATTTATTTCTAGGAGAGAGAGAGAGACAGCGTGAGCAGGGGAGGGTCAGAGGGAGAGGGAGTGACAGACTCTGAAACAGGCTCCAGGCTCTGAGCTGGCAGTCAGCACAGAGCCGGACACGGGGCTCGAACCCACGAACCGTGAGATCATGACCTAAGCGAAAGTCGGACGCCTAACCGACTAAGCCACACAGGCGCCCCGTGACAAAAGTTTTTAAGTTGTATGAAAAAAATGTTTTTCCATCCTGCCATTGCATGTCTGTGAATGTGTGTGTGCCTGTGTGTGTGTGTGTGTGTGTGTGTGTGTGTGTATTTTCTTTCAAGCACAATGTCATTGTCTAAATTTGATCCCTTTATAACTATGAGCCTAAACCAAATGGTTACTTGCTCTCCCCTGCTGATGATTCCCAAACAGCTTCTCATTTTCCCCAATTTATTTTCATCCTTGAGGAACTGATACTAAATAGTAAACCTTTAAAATATAGTTAGATTGATGACCATCACCAGGGAGATGCATGTAGAATGGAGTGAGATATAATGCTAATGTCACCTTTTTAAGTTTACTTATTTATTTTGAGAAAGAGAGAAAGGGAGAGAGAATCCAAAAAGGCTTCATGCTGTCAGCACAGAGCCTAAGATGGGGCTGTGAGATCATCATCTGAGCCAAAACCAAGAGTTGGATGCTTAACCGACTGAGCCACCCGGGTGCCTGCTAATGTCATTTTAAATAAACTACAACACCTCCTGTATAAAGGACAATCATAGTATCTTTGTACAATCTAAATTATGAATTATTTTTTAAGTTTATTTATTTTGAGGAGGGGAGGGTCAAAGAGAGAGTGAGAGAATCCCAAGCAGGCTCTATACTGTCAGCACTTGGTCTGATACAGTGCTTGAACTCACAAACCATGAAGTCATGACCTGAGCCAAAACTGAGAGTCAGATGCTTACTGACTGAGCCACCCAGATGCCCCTAAATTCTGAATTATTTCATTGAGTGTTAAATAACACATATTACCCAACTCAACATCAAAAACACCAATAATCCAATTAACAAAATGGGCAGAGGACCTATTAGAAGGTGGAGAGGGACAGTAAAGTATCCCCCAAACTGAGAAGGCACTTTGAGACTGGAAAATGAAGCAGGCCACTCTACAGAGTTCACACAGTTTTATGCAGGTGTAACTGAGTGAGGGGCAGGGGGAGTCTTAGGGCATGGGGAGACGGGGGTGGGATGAGGTGTGGGGATTGAGTGGAGGATGATCCATAGCAGTCCGCATAGCTGTTCTCCACAAAGTCCAAGCCTTAGTTCACAGACTTTATAGAGTGAGGGGAAATGCAGGAGGGCATTGTAGTGAGATCAAGGGCTCACACAGACCTAGAAGGCTTTCATGCACTTAATTGGCGGCTACCCTTTAGTTAGATCTTGTAGCACCACCTGTACATCAGGAGAGAAGGAAGACCATGTTATCTCTAACAGATTAATGAGAGGCCAAAACAAGGCTCTCACCATCCCAGTGTTGGCAGGCATGTCTAAGGTATGCGTATTAATATCCAAGTGGCCTGGACCACATAGACCCAAGAGAAGTCATTGAGCAAACATGACAAGATGAAGGGCCAAAGATGGAGTCAGTATTGTTAGCACTCCTACACGACATGAATAGACATTTTTCCGAAGACATACAAATGGCCAACAGGCACATGAAAAGATACTCAGCATTGTTAATCATCAGGAAAATGCAAATCAAAGGCACACTGAGATATCACCTCACACCTGTTGGAATGACTAAATCAAAAGACAAGAAATAACAAGCGTTAGTGAGGATGTGAAGAAAAAGGAACCCCTCATGCACTCTGGGTGGAGACACTGGTACAGTCACCGTGGAAAACATTATGGAGGTTCCTGAAATAATTAAAAAGAGAAATATTATATGATACAATAATTCTAGTGCCCAAAGAAAATGAAAACACTGAGGGGCGCCTGGGTAGCTCAGTCGGTTAAGCATCCGACTTTGGCTCAGGTCATGATCTCATGGTTCGTGGGTTCGAGCCCCGCGTCGGGCTCTGTGCTGACTGCCAGCTCAGAACCTGGAGCCTATTTCAGTCTGTGACACCCTCTCTCTCTGACCCTCCCCTGCTCACGCTGTCTCTCTCTCTCTCTCTCCTAGAAATAAATAAAAATATTTAAAAAAATAAATAAATAAATAAATAAAAATGTTTAAATATTTTTTAAAAATAGGAAAACAAAAGGAGGGGAAGAGAGGGCTGAAGCTTGGGTGTGATTTTATTTTTTATTTTTATTTNGGCTCAGGTCATGATCTCATGGTTCGTGGGTTCGAGCCCCGCATTGGGCTCTGTGCTGACAGCTAGCTCAGAGCCTGGAGCCTGTTTTGGATTCTGTATCCCTCTTTCTCTCTGACCCTCCCCTGCTCACACTGTCTCTCTCCCTCTCTCAGAAATAAATAAAACATTTAGAAAAAAAAAAGATGAAAACACTGACTCAAAGAGATATATGCACCCCCTATGTTTATTGCAGCATTATTTACAATAGCCAAGACATGGAGGCAATCTACGTTGTCTGCTGATAGATGAATAGATAAGGAAGATGTGGTGAACATGCACCCACTGGAATATTACTCAGCCACAAATAACCATGAGATCTTGCCATTTGTGACAACATGGATGGATGTAGAGGGTATGGTGGAAATTGAAATAAGTCAGATTGAGAAATAAATACCATACAGTTTCACTCATGTGGACCTAAAAAAAATAAATGAATAAACAGAAATAAACCTATAAATACAGTCAACAAACTGATGGGTTGCCAGAGAAGAGGTGGGTGGAGGGATGGGCAAAATGGGTGAAGGGGAGTGGGAGGTACAGGCTTCCAGTTGTGGAATGAATAAGCCACAGGAATAAAAAGTACAGCAGAGGGAATACAGTCAATGGTATTATAACAGCCAGGTGTGGTGACAGATGGTAGTGACACTTGTGAGCATAGCATGGCATTTAGAGATGTTGAATTACTATGTTGTACACCTGTAATTAATGTAACATTGTTAACTATACACAAAAACATTTTTAATAGGAAAATAGTATTATAGAGATGTATAAATAAATGTTATTTTTCTGGAAAAAATAACATGTATTATCTTTGCCACTGAGAAGTGACAATTTGGTGAGGAAAGACAATATCAAACTACTGAAGCATATACCTTCAAAATGATTTTGACAAAAGCAGAATTAACTTTCAATTCCTCACACATGGTTTCATTTTCTAAATAAGTATATGTGGGGGCGCCTGGGTGGCTTAGTCGGTTAAGCGTCCGACTTTCGGTTGGGTCATGATCTCGCAGTTTGTGGGTTCGAGCGCCGCGTCGGGCTCTGTGCTGACTGCCAGCTCAGAGCCTGGAGCCTATTTCAGAGTCTGTATCTCTCTCTCTCTCTCTCTCTGACCCTCTCCTGCTCACGCTGTCTCTCTCTCTCCTAGAAATTTAAAAAAAAAAAATTAAGTATATGTGGAGGCTGAAAGTAAATGGGGAGGTTAAAAATGAAATCTTTACTCTTTAAATTGCGAGTCACCTTTTAAGAGAAATCCACTACATGATCTTTTCATCCAGAATTAAATTAGTCACACTAACCCATATTTTCTTTTTGTTTACAGAAAGCCCTCTGTTTTGAATTCACTTCTACTGACATAGCCAGACTTGATGGAACATAGCTAATTAGGGGGCAGTATTCCCCCACTCATTAGGGACCGTACAAATAAAGACCCTCAGAGCTTTAGGTTTTGATTTTGTGAAAAGAATATTTTTCCGCCAGCCTAAAGATGGTCCATTTCTTATTTTAAGAGTTAGTAAGGCAGTAGGATTGAAATATGAAGATCATGTTTCCTAGAATGAGAGGCAAAAACATTTATTTTTGTTTCGAACTTATGTGGGGTAAACAGTGTGCTTACTTGAATGTGTTGGAGGTTGGAGGTTAGTGGGAAGGGTCTGGTGTGAACCATGTTCATAGATGGTGAATTTTTCCTATCGATTTGTCATTTATTGTAAGAAACTCACTACATTTTTCTGTGGAGACAGATGGTGTTCTGCCATTCAAGATCCATCAGATTGAAGTCTGGGAGCTGAAATCATAATTAATTTCATGTGATATCTGGTGATCCTGAATTGTTCCCATTAAGAGAGTCCAAGCCTGGAAGTCTTGGGATGCCAAAAATTGTAAACTTAATTCCTGAGTGGCCAACAATCATTGATAAAATTATTCTCCCCACTTCTTTTTGTTTGCTTTTTGTTTTTAATGTTTGTTTTTGTGAGAGCGCAAGCCCGGGAAGGGGCAGAAAGATGGAGACAGAAGATCCAGAGTGGGCTCTGTGCTGACAGACTGGCAGCAGCGAGCCTGATGTGGGGCTCAAACTCAGATGACTGCGAGATCATGACCTGAGCTGAAGTCAGACACTCAACTGACTGAGCCATGCAGCTCCCCCACTCCCCACTTCTTTATCGTGAGATATACCGTAACCTATAAAGGTTTGTAAAAATTAAACGTGTAGTTTAAGAAATTTAAAAAAAAGGGGGCGCCTGGGTGGCTTAGTCGGTTAAGCGTCCGACTTTCGCTTGGGTCATGATCTCGCGGTTTGTGGGTTCGAGCCCCACGTCGGGCTCTGTGCTGACTGCCAGCTCAGAGCCTGGAGCCTGTTTTGGAATCTGTCTCCCTCTCTCTCTGACCCTCCCCTGCTCACGCTGTCTCTTTCTGTCTCTCTCTCTCTCCTAGAAATAAATTTTAAAAATATTAAAAAAAAAAAAATTTAAAAAAAATCTGTGAATTCACACCCAGGTTAAGAAATGGAACATGAGTTCCTTACACGCCCCTGTGTATGCCCTTCTCTCCCAAAGAGGATTCTGACTTTTGTGTTAGATATTCCTTTGCTTTTCTATATAATGTGGCAACCTCTGTAGATAGTGCTAAAAATGATTAGTTTTACTTATTTTTAAACTTTATATAATTTTAAAAAACATGCTATAGGTTTTTAGCTGTCACTTTTTTGGCCCACCATTACTAGTTGGAGATTCATCCATGTTGATATCAGTATTTCGTTCATCTTTACCGCTGTTAATAGTGGCTAACCAATTTATATTTCTGTCAATTAAAATTTAGCTTCTAGTTTTCTCAGGTTTTTTTTTTGCTCAGTTACAAATGGTGCTGCTAATGAATTTTTGTACATGTCTCCTAATATGCATGCCGTTTCTCTGTGTACCTAGGACTGGAATGCTGAATCATATGTTCTATGCAATATTCAACTTTATTAGGTAATACAAAAGTGGCTTCCAAAGTGGTTGTAGCCATTTATATTCCCACTAGCAAAGCATAAAACTTTTGTTGCACCGCATCTTCACTTACATCTGGTGTCCTCAGACTTTTCCGTTGTAGCCATGGGATGGGTAGATCGCTATAGTTTACTTTGGCTCTTCCTAATTGCTAATAAGATTGAGTTACCTTTTCATTTGTGTATTGACAGTTGGAATTCTTTTATGAAGTGCTTGGTAGTCTTTTATGTAGTTTTCTGTTGGGTTGCTGGTCTTTTTCTTATTGATGTAAAGGCATTCTTTATACCGTCCAGATATTAGCTTTTTGTTGTTTATATCTGTAACACATCTCTTCTCTCAGTTTGTGGCTTGTGGCTTCATTTTCTGTATACTATCTTTTGATCAACATGAACTTAATTTTAAGAAGATTGAGTTGATCAGTTTTAACTGTTTTTTCTTTTTATGTTTTGGAAAGTTCTTTCCCCACCAATAAAATATATTCTCTCTCCTTTAGCATCTTCTCTGTTACATTTTTACCTTTTATATTTAGGTCTTTACTCCAGCTGGAGTTGGGTTTTATATATTGGTATAAGGTAGAGGGTCCAGTTTTATTCTTTTCCATAGAGAAAACCAACTGGCCTAGGACCAATTACTAAAAAGCTATTTTCCACTGATGGGTGTGGGGGGGGAGGGGAGAGATGGGCATGGAGGAGGGCACTTGTGGGGATGAGCACTTGGTGTTATATGGAAACCAACTTGACAATAAACTATTTGTAAAAAAAAATAAATAAAATAAAATGAAATGAAAAAAAAAGTTATTTTCCCCCTATTGACCTGAAATTCCACCTCAGACATTTAGCAGATGTCCATTTATCATGTCTGGGCCCTTTCTACTTTTCCTTTGGTTTGTCTATACTCTCTTAATTACTGTAGCTTTATTAATGTCCTGATAACCTGATAGCAAGTCCTTCTACCTTCCCTTGTCTATTCATGACCCATTGTACTTCCATATACATTTTATATTGCTTGTGAAATTCTACCAGAAAAAAGTCTTTTGAGAGGAATTCAATTACACATCTATTTTAGGAAAATTGACATCTTTAGGATATTGAGGACTCCAATCCAATGGACATCTTTCCATTTACTTGGCTGTTTTTACTGTTTTAAATAAATTTTTATAATTTTCTTTTAAAGATCTTATACACTTTTTAAAAATGTTTATTTTGAGCTGACTGCGCCACCCCGTCACCCCAAAGATATTATACACTTTCATTAGATTTATTCTTTAGGTTATCATAAATGGAATCTTTTAAAATATCTTATTATAAATATTTTCTTTATTACTGTTGAATAGAAAGGACGTTGATTTTTATATATTGATCTTATATATAGCCAACTTGCTACACTTAAAATTTTTTTTTAATGTTTACTTATTTTTGAGAGAGAGAGAGAGAGACAGAGCATGAGCAACAGAGGACAGAGAGACAGGGAGACACAGAATTGGATCCAGGCTCTTGGCTCTGTGCTGTCAGCACAGAGCCCAACATGGAGCTCAAACTCATGAATGAGGAGATCATGTCCTGAGCCAAAGTCGGATACTCAACTGACTGAGCCACCCAGACACCACTACACTTTCTTTTTTTTTTTTTTTTTTTAATGTTTTATTTATTTCTAGGAGAGAGAGAGAGAGAGAGCATGAGCAGGGGAGGGTCAGAGAGAGAGGGAGACACAGACTCCGAAATAGGCTCCAGGCTCCGAGCTGGCAGTCAGCACAGAGCCCGATGCGGGGCTCGAACCCACGAACCGCGAGATGGTGACCTAAGCGAAAGTCGGACGCTTAACCGACTAAGCCACCCAGGCGCCCCACCCCTACACTTTCTAATTTTAATCATTTATCTGTTGCTTATTTGGGGTTTTCTATATACTCAATTATACTATTTCTCAGTAATAGCAAAAAACATTTTTCTTCCTTCCCGATTCTTTTTTTTAATTTCTTTTAAAAGTTTTTTATTTATTTCTGAGAGAGAGAGAGACAGCATGAGCAGGGGAGGGCCAGAGTGAGAGGGAGATAAAGAATCTGAAACGGGCTCCAGGCTCTGAGCTAGCTGTCAGCACAGAGCCCAATGCGGGGCTCGAACCCACAAACCTGAGCTGAAGTTGGACACCTAACCAACTGAGCCACCCAGGCGTCCCTCTTCTTTCCCAATTCTTAAACCTCATATTTCTTTTTCTTTCCCTATTCCAGTGGTTAAGTCTTCTACTATTGTGTTGAAAAGGAGGAGTAGTAAAAAATGTTCTTGTTTCTGATTGTAAAGAAAATGCTTTCAGTATTTCTTCCTTAATATTTCTATATCTATTGAGATAATCACATTTTCCCATTAATCTGTTCTGGTAAATTATATTCATTGATTTACTAATCTTAAACCAGTTTTGCATCCCTGGAGTAAAACTATCTTGGTCATCATGAGCTATTCTTTTTGTACGTATCTGAATTTTGCTAATATCTTGTTAAGATTTTTTATATTTGTTCATAAATGAGATACCCTGTAAGTTTCTTTTATTGTACTGACATTGTCAGGTTTTCATTTTAAAATTATGAAATCCTCAAAAAAGAGTTGGGGGCCAATGTATATATTCTATATGTTAGAATAGTTGCGTAAGAAGGAATATAGTGATAGTCAGGTTTTTATTTCTTTTTGCTTCAGTTTTTATTTAGTTAAAATTCTCCAGGAATTTTTTCATTCTATCTAAAATTCCAAATATTCAGAATTTTGTTAATGACGGGCACCTGGGTGGTTCAGTTGGTTAAGCAACTGACTTTTGATTTTGGTGCATCTCATGATCTCACAGTTCATGGGATCGAGCCCTGTGTTGGGCTGTGTGCTGACAATGCAGATCCTGCTTGGGATTCTCTTGTTCCCCCCATTCTCTCTGCTCCTCTCCTGCTTGCATGCATATTCTCTCTCTCAAAATAAGCAAGCTTTAAAAAATATGTTTATTTATTTTTGAGACAGAGACAGAGAGTGAGCAGAGGAGGGGCAGAGAGAGAGGGAGACACAGAATCCGTGGCAGGCTCAAGGCTCTGAGCTGTCAGCACAGGGCCCGAAGCGGGGCTGGAACCCATGAACCGCAATATCATGACCTGAACCGAAGTCAGATGCTTGACCAACTGAGCCACCTAGGTGCCCCAAAATAAATAAATTTAAAAAAAGAATGTTCATGAGATTTTTACTATCTTTTAAATCTCTAGACTATCTAAAGTTATGACCCGTGATCACTCATATTTGCTTATGTCCTCTTTTTTTTTTCTTGGTAAACCTTGCTATAGAGTTATTAGAGTTACAGTCTTTTAAAGAATCCATGTGGGGCGCCTGGGTGGCTTAGTCGGTTAAGCGTCCGACTTTCGCTTAGGTCATGATCTCGTGGTTCGTGGGTTCGAGCCCCGTGTCCGGCTCTGTGCTGACTGCCAGCTCAGAGCCTGGAGCCTGTTTCAGAGTCTGCATCTCCCTCTCTCTCTGACCCTCCCCTACTCACACTGTCTCTCTCTCTCTCTCTCTCTCCTAGAAATAAATAAATATATTAAAAAAAAAAAAAAGAATCCATGTGTGGCTTTTTGACATGCACTTGTTTGTATATATTTTAATACTTCTGATATGATGATTTCTTTTTTTTTTATTTTTACAAATGGTTTATTGTCAAGTTGGTTTCCATATAACACCCAGTGCTCATCCCCACAAGTGCCCTGCTCCATGCCCACCTCCCCCCTCCCCCCCTGATGATTTCTTTCAATTCTTTGGATTTTACCAATCTTTTTCTAATTTCTTAAAATAAAGGTTAAAGTTTCCTTCTAAGTAATGCTTTCACTGTCTCCACATATTTTGATGTATAATATTTTAGTATTATTTTAGAATTTTATATCTGAATTCTTCCTTACCTGAAGGTGTTATTTGTATATTTCTTAATGTTTGAAGATACAGGGATTTTCTAGTTATTTTTTTGTTACTGGTGTCTAGCGTAATTATACCAAGTCACTAAATATTTGATGTATGATATTCTTTTGAAATTGTTGAGACTTACTTGCTTTGTGTCCAATATATTGTTAATTTTTATAAATGCTTCATGTGTACCCCAAAGTAAACAATGGATTTTGAACCTCCTAGGAATAGTCATCTGTATATGTCTATTTACACCAAACTTGTCCATTGTGTGGATTAAATTTTCAATACCAATGTTTTTTTTAAATGCTTGATCTATCTGTTACAGCTAGACATGTGTTAAAAATCTCTCACTACTGTAGATTTTCTTTGTAAATACTACTTACATATTTTCAATCTATGTTGTAAGTTATAGATGTAAATATTAACTTGTTACATCTATTTTAATAAGAGAAATAGAGTTATTCAGGGAGGCCCAGCTTTGGACTATAGGCTGTGTGTATTTCAGTGATTCTGATTTTTATATTTTATTAAACATCTAATAAACCACACTCTATACAAAAATAATTTTATCATATTTAGCAATTTAGTGTTAAAAATATTCATGCCCTGCTCCAATCAAAAGACATAGGGTAGCAGAATGGATTAAAAAACAAAATCCATCTATATGCTGTCTACAAGAAACTCATTTTAGACGGGAAGATACCTTCAGATTAAAAGTAAGGGGATGGAGAAATATATATCATGCTACAGGAAATCAAAAGAAAGCCGGAGTAGCGATACTTATATCAGACAAACTGGACTTTAAATTAAAGACAATCACAAGAGATGAAGAAGGGCACTACATAATAATTACAGGGTCCATCCATCAGGAAGAACTAACAATCATAAATGTCTACGCACCGAATATGGGAGCACCTAAATATCTAAAACAATTAATCACAAACAGAAACAAGCTTATAGATAAGAATGTGCTAATAGCAGGGGACTTTAATACTCCGCTTACAGCAATGGATAGGTCAACCAGACAGAAAATCACTAAAGAAATAATGGACTTGAAAGACACATTGGACCAGATGGATCTGACGGATATATTTAGAACTTTACATCCTGAGGCCAGGGAATTTACTTTCTTCTCAAGTGCGCATGGCACATTCTCCAAGATAGATCACATACTGGGACATAAAGCAGCCCTCAATAAATATAAAAGAATAGAGATCATACCATGCACACTGTCAGATCACAATGCTTTGAAACTTGAAATCAATTACAGGAAGAAGTCTGGAAAACCGCCAAAAACATGGAGGTTAAAGAACACCCTTCTAAAGAATGAATGGGCCAATCAGGCAATTAGAGAGGAAATTAAAAAATATATGGAAACAAATGAAAATGAAAACACAACAATTCAAAATCTATGGGATGCGGCCAAGGCAGTCCTAAGAGGAAAGTACATTGCTCTCCAGGCCTATTTCAAGAGATTAGAAAAAGCACAAGTCCAAAATCTAACAGCTCACCTAAAGGAGCTAGAGGCAGAGCAACAAGAACGCCCTAAACCCAGTAGAAGAAGAGAAATAGTAAAAATTAGAGCAGAAATAAACAACATAGAGACCAAAGAAACAATTGAACAGATCAATGAAACCAAGAGTTGGTTTTTTGAAAAAGTAAACAAAATTGACAAACCTCTAGCCAGGCTTATCAAAAAGAAAAGAGAGAGCACCCAAATAGACAAAATTATGAATGAAAATGGACTTATTACAACCAACCCCTCAGAAATACAAGCAATTATCAGGGAATACTATGAAAAATTATATGCCAACAAATTGGACAACTTAGAAGAAATGGACAAATTCCTAAACACACACTCACTACCAAAATTCACACGGGAAGAAATAGAAAACCTGAACAGACCCATAACGAGTGAAGAAATCGAATCAGTGATCAAAAATCTCCCAACAAATAAGAGCCCTGGACCTGATGGTTTCCCTGGGGAATTCTACCAGACATTTAAAACAGAATTAATCCCAATTCTTCTCAAGCTATTCCAAAAAATAGAAGTCGAAGGAAAACTCCCGGACTCATTTTATGAAGCCAGCATCACTCTGATTCCCAAGCCAGACAGAGATCCAACAAAAAAAGAGAACTATAGGCCAATATCCTTGATGAATACGGATGCAAAAATTCTCAACAAGATCCTTGCAAATCGAATCCAGCAGCATATCAAAAGAATCATCCACCAAGATCAAGTGGGATTCATTCCTGGGTTACAGGGCTGGTTCAACATTCGCAAATCAATCAATGTGATCCATCATATCAATAAAAGAAAAGATAAAAACCATATGATCCTGTCAATAGATGCAGAAAAAGCATTTGACAAAATACAGCATCCCTTCTTAATAAAGACTCTCGAGAAAGTTGGGATAGAAGGAACCTACTTAAACATCATCAAAGCCATCTATGAGAAGCCTTCAGCTAACATCATCCTCAACGGGGAAAAACTGAGAGCTTTCCCCCTGAGATCAGGAACACGACAGGGATGTCCACTCTCACCACTGTTGTTTAACATAGTGCTGGAAGTCCTAGCATCAGCCATCAGACAACAAAAGGAAATCAAAGGCATCAGAATTGGCAAAGAGGAAGTCAAACTTTCACTCTTCGCAGATGACATGATACTCTACATAGAAAACCCGACAGACTCCACCAGAAGCCTACTAGAACTGATCCAAGAATTCAGCCAAGTTGCAGGGTACAAAATCAACGTACAGAAATCGGTTGCATTTTTATACACCAATAATGAAGCAACAGAAAGAGAAATCAAGAAACTGATCCCATTCACAATTGCACAAAAAACCATAAAATACCTCGGAATAAACCTAACCAAGGATACAAGAGATCTGTATGATGAAAACTATAGAAAACTTATGAAGGAAATTGAAGAAGACACAAAGAAATGGAAAAACATTCCATGCTCATGGATAGGAAGAATAAATATAGTTAAGATGTCATTACTACCTAAAGCACTCTACACATTCAATGCAATTCCAATCAAAATTGCACCAGCATACTTCTCAAAACTAGAACAAACTATCCAAAAATTTGTATGGAACCACAAAAGACCCCGAATAGCCAAAGTAATACTGAAAAATAAAACCAAAACGGGAGGTATCACCATCCCAGACTTCAGCCTCTACTACAAAGCTGTCATCCTCAAGACAGTATGGTATTGGCACAAAAACAGACACATAGACCAATGGAACAGAATTGAGAACTCAGAAGTGGACCCAAAAGTATACAGCCAACTGATCTTTGACAAAGCAGGAAAGAATATCCAATGGAAAAAAGACAGCCTTTTTAACAGATGGTGTTGGGAGAACTGGACAGCAACATGCAGAAGAATGAAACTAGATCATTTTCTCACACCATGCACAAAAATCAACTCAAAATGGATAAAGGACCTGAACGTGAGACAGGAAACTATCAACACCCTAGAGGAGAAAGCAGGAAACAACCTCCTTGACCTCCACCGCAGCAACTTCTTACTTGACACATCCCCAAAAGCAAGGGAATCAAGAGCAAAAATAAACTGTTGGGACCTCATCAAGATTAAAAGCTTCTGCACAGCCAAGGAAACAACCCAGAAAATTAATAGGCAACCAACGGAATGGGAAAAGATAGTTGCAAATGACATATCAGATAAAGGGTTAATATCCAGAATCTATAAGGAACTCACCAAACTACACGCCCGAAAAACAAACAACCCAGTGAAGAAATGGGCAGAAGACATGAACAGACACTTCTCCAAAGAGGACATCCAGATGGCCAACAGACACATGAAACGATGCTCAGCATCCCTCCTCATCAGGGAAATACAAATCAAAACCACACTGAGATACCACCTCACGCCAGTCAGAGTGGCTAAAATGAGCAAATCAGAGAACTCTAGATGCTGGCGAGGATGTGGAGAAACGGGCACCCTCCTACACTGTTGGTGGGAATGTAAACTGGTACAGCCCCTCTGGAAAACAGTGTGGAGGTTCCTCAGGAAACTAACAATAGAACTCCCCTATGACCCAGCAATAGCACTGCTAGGAATTTACCCAAGGGATACAGAAATGCTGAGGCATAGGAGCACATGTACCCCAATGTTCATAGCAGCACTCTCCACAATAGCTAAAACATGGAAAGAGCCTAAGTGTCCATCAACAGATGAATGGATCAAGAAGATGTGGTTTATCTATACCATGGAATACTACATGGCAATGAGAAACAATGAAATCTGGCCATGTGTAGCAACATGGATGGACCTTGAGGGTGTTATGCTGAGCGAAATAAGTCAGGCAGAGAAGGACAAATATCATATGTTTGCACGTATAGGAGGATTAGGAGGAACTTGACGGAGGAACAAGGGGGAGAAGAAGGGCGGAAATGGTGGGGGAAAGGGAGAGAGGCAAACCAGGAGAGACTCTTGAATGCTGACAAAAACTGAGGACTGATGGATGTGGGGGGAGGGGGGGATGGGCATGGAGGAGGACACTTGTGGGGATGAGCACTGAGTGTTATGTGGAAACTAATTTGACAATAAACTATTTGTAAAAAAAAAAAAAAAAAAATATTCATGCCCCTTGACCTTGTTAACTCATTTCTGGGTTGCTTTTCAGATAAAACAACCAGTAGATAAAAAGCTTTATGTACCACAATACATATTTATGATGGTGAAAAAAACATAGATTCTAACAATAGCAGAATGGTGACATTTGATTTCCCCCTTCCTTTCTACTTTTTTAATGTTTTCCGTATTTTCTACAATTCTTTTACAATTATAATGGGGGAAAACAAGCTTTGAAATATAGGCTAACAAATACATTTCTAACTAATATTTGAGTGTACATAATTTGTCTTTAATTCTATGTTATGTTGTTATTTAGGTGATATCTTTAAAATAACAAGATAGAAAAGCCATATAGAAAATGTGATAGGGATATGTATAAAGGGATGGGGATAGGGATATGTATAAAGTAAAAGTTAAATGTTAAAGACAGATGGTCTGTTGTGCCTTCTCTGTCATAGGTAGAACACTGATAGAAGGGAAAGAATGCTTTGCTCACATGGTTTTCAGTCATATGAGCCCATGGACAAAACCAGCAGCTGTTGGATTCCCCAGCCCACATGTGACAGAGTTCCCAAGAAAACGAAAAGGAAGTGATTCAGACCCATCCCAGTAAGTGACTTTTTTCCTCTAACCCCATGAAATCTTTGATTCTAAGGAAAAGAGAAAAAGATTACTTTTTAAATCCTTGATTATTTTCAGTTACACGGTAACATATGGATGGGGGCAATTATTTCTCCACCCAACTGCTTCCTCTGTCACTGATCTGGAACTTTTCCATTGAATTCTGAAGCTCAGCAGATAGCTCAGGAGGTCAGCTGGAATCTGAAAGATACAGAAACATAAGGTCAATTTGCTTAACATTGATGGTCATATTGAGATGCTTACCTTCCTATTTGAATTGTTTAATGGTGAAGAGAACATCTTCCTGTAGGTTTCACTTAAAATAATAATTACCACATTGCTTCTTGCCATACTCATCATTTATAAAATAACCAGCCCTTGGTTATCTGTGGTCAGTTAAATCATAAACAACTTTTCTTTTCCATGTTTATTTAAGTCAAATAGATAATAAAGCCAATGTTGAGGATACTTCCTATCTCCTTGTTTATTTTTGTTGCATTAATACAGCTCACAGCTCCAAATATTCTTTTTTATTTAAAAAAAATTTTTTTTAATGTTTTATTTATTTCTAGGAGAGAGAGAGAGAGACAGCGTGAGCAGGGGAGGGTCAGAGAGAGAGGGAGTCACAGACTGAAACAGGCTCCAGGCTCTGAGCTGGCAGTCAGCACAGAGCCCGACGCGGGGCTCGAACCCAGGAACCATGAGATCGTGACCTAAGCGAAACTCGGACGCTTAACCGACTGAGCCACCCCGGCGCCCCACAGCTCCAAATATTCTTTAATATTGGAGCTTTAATAACTCCCCAACGCTAGGATTTGTATGGTGAAATTGATAGGGCAATGTAAATACTACAATCCAGAGTACTCCATTTTAGGCTTCTAGAGTATTCCATTTTAGGCTGGTATTTTACATAAATATGATAGTTGATGATAGTTTTTCATGAAAGAAGGGAAATATTTTGAATAGGGGGACAAGATGAGAACATAAGGAAACATCCTACTTTTTAAGCCCGTTCTTCCCAATATATAATTTAGTTAAAATTCCCAAGACAGTAGGATCAGTGTTATTCAAATGTAAGTACCAGTACATTTCCCTGTCTACCTATAAATGACTTGAAAGTTATCTACAAATTTGTCTGTATTCTCTTAGACTTTTCCATTAATGTGACTAGTCATAAATAACTACAACTGACCAAGTGACTGTCTAGCACTGTTTGGTGTTTTCCATTCTAAATGATCAGTTTGTAGTCCCCACTTAGCTCAAGCTAGAAGTGATTGTAAGTTTTATGTTCTTTCTTTTTCTTCAGAATCATAAGCCCCATTGTTCTTTCTTAGTATCTAAATAAGATTGTGGCTGTTGAAGTGAAGCAGTGAGTACTAGAGGTAACACACTTTTATGCTGCGGGGGGGGGGGGGGGGGGCATGGATGAGACCTTACAGTGGCTTGGGGAGTGAATGGGGAAATGGGGTGATTGGTAGGTGAAATAACAGAAACTTGCAAAATACTGACAGATAGTGATCTTTTGGCAAAAGACAACACTTAAGATTAGCCAATTGCCCACATTTTAGAAACCTAAGAAGCTAGGACTCAAAGACATCAAGTGGCTTGCCTAACATTTCACAACTAGTTAGAATGTCTGATTGTTAATGTGGTAGTTTTCTTCATTACACTCTGTTTCCTGTCTCTCTGCAACTGGACAGGGTAGCTTGCTTCTAGCACATGAGGATAATCATGCTGTCCATTTCCCAACATATATGGATAGAAGTGACCCAAGACCTCTTTCCATCCAGGTCAGGATTCGTGACAGAAAAAGTGGCAGAAAAACTTTCTCAGAATCCTTTTACCTATCTTCTTTCAACAAAGATAGAAATATCAGCAACCAGTGGCAGCAGGTAAGTCCTGGACTTCTATCTGACAGAATTCCTACTTGAAGAAGGTGAATAGGAAGAGAATCAAAAGAGAGTATATACCCCACTGAATTGCTCATTATATACCTTAGAGCTTCTCCATTCTGCCCCAATCCTTCTTTCATTCCACCATATTCAATTCCTCTGATGAAATGATTGGTGTCAAAGTACTTACAGGTTTTTACAAAGTACTGATTGTATAGCATCCTTCTCAGAGACTCAGGGCATGAAAGCCATTCAGTAGATATGAAGTTGATTTCATTGGTGGAGCCCCAGAATATTGGGTATTTTTAAACAAAGAAGAGTGTATGAGAATGGTTACCATTTTTGCAGCATTCTTGGTTTTGAATGGAGAGCTGGTTCTTTAAAAGGATCATGGATGAAGACTGCCTGGAATGTAGTCATTAAAATTTCTTGAGTACCTACTATGTGCCATGCTGGGAGGAAGAAGTACAGATTAGACTAAAGAAACGTGTACATATTAGAAAGGTACAGATAACTATTACACATGAAAACTGTCATAACATACACCCTGGGTACTATGGTAACAGAGACAGTTGGGCATTTAAGTAAGATTGGGATCAGTAGGGAAGGACAGCTCCCTGCAGAGGTTGACTTAAGCTAAGTTTTAAATAAAGAATGGGAGTGAGCCATTCTGAGCAGAGGTAGAGGTATTTTAGATAGAAAGAAGAACTGTGTGGAAGCACAGAGCATGAAATATGAAATAACACTCTGTATATCAGGAAGTGTGGTTGGCACAACAAAGCAGAGGGCATACACAGAGGTGGGTGAGCTATGAGACTTGACAGGTGAACATGGACTAGGTAAAGAGATCTGTTGAACCACACAGTATAGAGATTATCTTGCCTGCAGTCAGGAAAACAGAAGGATTTTAAGGTGGAGAGGACTTGATTAAATTACATTAAAAAATTGTTGGCCTTTGTACTTTTATTTGGTTAAAAAATATATAACGTAAAAAATTGCCATCTCTGCCATTTTTAACTATACAATTCAGTGGCATTAATTATGTATACAATGTTTTACAGCCATTATTACTACTATTTCAAAAACTGTTATTACCCCAAACTCTGTACTCATTAAATAATGATACTCCATCCCTTGTTTCCCCCATCCCTGGTAACCTCTAGCCTATTTTCTATTTTCTAGTTCTATGATTTTGCCTATTCTAGATATCTTATATAAGTAGAGTCATGCAATGTTTGTCATTTTGTATCTGGCTTATTTCACCAGGTGTTATATTTTCAAATTTCATGTGTATTACAGCATATATCAGAATTTCATTCATTCTTTTTAGGGCTAAATAATATTCCATTGTATGTATATATTACATTTTTGTAATAATTTTTAAGTATAATTGACACACAAAATTACATTAGTATCAGATGCACAACATAGTCAATTTCTCTACACATTATGCTGTGCTTACCACATAGCTACAGTCTGTCAGCATACGTCACTATTACAATATCATTGACAACGTTCCCTATGCTGTGCCTTTTATTCTCATGACCTATTCATTCTGTAAATGTAAATCCATATTTCCAACACCCCTTGACTCATTTTTCCCATCTTTACACCTTCCTTCCCTCTGGCGACCATTAATTCTCTGGTTTTATAAGTCTGATTCTGCTTTTTGTTTATTCATTTGTTTTGATTTTTAGGTGCCACAAGAATGAGATCATATGATATTTGTCTTTTTCTCAATCTGACTTAGTTCACTTAGCAAAATACCCTCTAGGTTCGTCCATGTTCTTGCAAATGGCAAGACCTTATCTTTTATTTGGTGGTATAATACTCTAGTGTGTGTGTGTGTGTGTGTGTGTGTGTGTGTGTGTGTATCACTTCTTTATCCATTTGTCTATTGATGGACACTTAGGTTGCTTCCTTATCTTGGCTATTATAAATAATGTTGCAATAAACATGGGGATGCATGTATCTTTTTGAATTAGTGTTTTGGTTTTATTGGGTAAATACCTAGTAATGGCGTTACTGGATTATATGTTATTTCTGTTTTCAATTTTTAGAGGAACCTCCATACTGCTTTCCACAGTGGCTGTACCAATTTACATTTCCACCACAGTATATGTTTTCTCTACATCCTTGCCAACACTTGTTATTTCTTATCCTTTTAATTTTAGTCATTCTGACAGGTAGAAAGTGGTATCTTATCGTGGTTTTGATTTGCATTTCCCTGATGATTAGTGATCAGCTTTTTTGTGTGTCTGTTGGCCATCTGTATGTCTTTGGGAAAATGTCTATTCAGTTACTCTGCCCATTTTTAAATCAGGTTGTTTGCTTTTTGGGTGTTGAGTTGTGTAAATTCCTTATATATTTTGGATATTAACCCCTTATTAGCCATTTGCAAATATCTCCTCCCATTTAGTAAGTTGTCTTATTATATTGTTGGTTTCCTTTGCTGCACAAAAACTTTTTATTTTGATGTAGGCTCAATAGTTTATTTTTGCTTTTGCTTCCTTTGTCTTAGGAGATATAGCTAGAAAAATAGTGTTAGAACCAATGTCAGAGAAATCACTTCCTATGTTCTCTTCTAGATTTTTTTATGGTTTCAAGTCTCACATATAGGTCTTTAGCCTATTTTGAGTTTACTTTTGTGAATGTTGTTAGAGAGGTCCAGTTTTCTCAGAACCATTTATTGAAGAGCCTCTCTTTTTCTCCGTTGCATAATCTTGACTAATTTGTCATAGATTAACTGACCGTATAATAGTGGGTTTATTTCCAGGTTCTCTATTCTGTCCCACTGATCTCTGTGTCTGTTTTTGTGCCAGTACCCTGATGTTTTAATTATTATAGCTTTGTAGTATATCTTGAAATCTGGATCTGTGATGCCTCCAGTTTTGTTCTTTTTCAAGGTTGCTTTGTCTATTTAGGGTCTTTTGTTCCATATGAAGTTTAGGATTGTTTGTGCAAGTTCTGTGAAAAATCCTTTTGGTGTTTTGAGAGGGATTGTACTGAATCTTTAGATTGCTTTGGGCAGAATGGACATTTTAACAATATAAACTCTTCCATTCCATGAACTAGAACACCTTGGCATTTATTTGTGTCATCTGTAATTTCTTTCATCAACGTCTTACAGTTTTCAGAGTGCAGGTCTTTCACCTCCTTGGTTAAGTGTACTCTTAGGTATTTTAGTCTTTTTGGTGCAACTGTAAATGGGATTGTTCACTTAAAATCTCTTTGGGCTAGTTTGTCATTAGTGTATAAAATTGCAGCAGGTTTTGGTATATTTTGTATACTGCAACTTTACTGAATACATTAGTTTTAATAGTTTTTTGACGGAGTCTTTATGGTTTTCTGTATGTTATGTCGAGTCATCTGTAAGTAGTGACAGTTTCACTTCTTCCTTACTAATATGATTGTCTCTTATTTCTCTTTCTAGTCTGATTGCTATGGTTAGGACTTCTAGTTGAATAAAAATGGTGAGTGGACATCCTTGTGTTGTTCTGATCTTAGAGGAAAATCTCTCAGTTCTTCACCACTGAGTATGATGATGGCTGTGGGTTTTTCGTGTGTGGCCTGTATTATGTTGAGGTATGTTCCCTCTAAACCCAGTAGTTGAAAGTTTTCATCATGAAGGATGTTGAATTTTGTCAGATGCTTTCATTGCATCTGTTGAGAAGATCATATGATTTTTTATCCTTAATTTTGTTGATATGGTTTATCATGTTGATTTGTAAATACTGAATCGTCCTTACATTCTGGGAATAAATCCCACTACATCGTGGTAAATGGTCCCTTTTAATGCATTGTGGAATTGGGGCGCCTGGGTGTCTTAGTCGGTTAAGCGTCCGACTTTCGCTTAGGTCATGATCTTGCGGTTCGTGGGTTCGAGCCCCGTGTCGGGCTCTGTGCTGACTGCCAGCTCAGAGCTTGGAGCCTGTTTCAGTCTGTGACTCCCTCTCTCTCTGACCCTCCCCTGCTCACGCTGTCTCTTTCTCTCTCTCCTAGAAATAAATAAAACATTTAAAAAAAAAAGTTAAAAAAAAAATAATGTATTGTGGAATGTAGTTTGCTAATACTTTGTTGAGAATTTTTAGATCTATATTCATCAGAGATATTGGTTTATATTTGTTTTTTTTAAATTTTTTTATTTTTTTAGTGTCTTTGGTTTGGGTATCCGGGTCAAGCTGAATGCTGACCTAGCAGAATGTATTTGGAAGCTTCCCTTTTTCTGTTTTTTAGAATAGATTGAGGAGAATAGGTTATGAACTCTTCTTTATATGTTTAGTGAAATTTATCTGTGAATCCATCAGGTCTTGGACTTTTATTTTTTGGTCATTTTTTGATTACCAATTCAATTTAGTTACTAGTAATTGTATATTCACATGTTCTGTTTCTTCCTGATATAGTGTTAGGAGATTGTATGTTTCTAGGAATTTATCCATTTCTTCTAGCTTGTCCAATAATTTTTGCTATATAATTTTTGTTGTATTTTCTTATAATCCTTCTGTATTTCTCTGGTGTTCTTATTTTTCCTCTTTTGCTTCTTATTTTATTTGCCCACCCCCCCTTTTTTTTTTTTTTTTTTTTTTTTTTGCCTGATGAGTTGGCCTCAGAGTTTATCAATTTTGCTCTTGGTTTTACTGATTTTTTTTCTATATTTTCTTTAGTCTCTATATCATATATTTCTGCTCTGGTATTTATTCTTTGTTCCTTCTACTCACTTTCCTTCTAATTCCTTCCTTCTACTCACCTTGAGCTTTGTTTCTCTTTTTCTAGTTTTTTTAGGTATAAGGCTAATTGTTTATTTGAGCTTTTCTTTCTTTTTGAGATAGGCTTGTATTGCTCTATATTTCCCTCCTAGAACTGTTTTTACTGTGTCCAAAGATTTTGAACTGTTGTATTTTCATTTTTCTATATGTTTTAATTTTCTCTTTGATTTCTTTGTTGACCCATTGGTTGTTTAGTAGTATGCTGTTTAGCTTCCATGTGTTTGTGCATTTTTT